TTGCTTTTGTTTTGAAAAAGTTATATACGTTTATATTATATAAATAATATTCCAAAATTTTTTGCACCATACTGTATATAGTATTATTAAAATTCAAAGATTCTTAATATAATTAATTAAATTACTAATAAAATTTACAAATAATTAAGATATAATATATATATATATTTAGGACCTGTGGATCTATAGTATAATAGTTAGTGTTTTACAGGTCAGATCATAAGATATTGTTTTAAATCCTTTAGAGGGCTAATATGAAACCTCTAAAAAAATTAAAGAAGGAAGGATCAGCATCTTCTAATCACTATTATAAGATACTAAGTTCAATTCCAGGTGAAAGTAATTGAACTGTTTCAACATAATATCTAGTACTATAACCTAATATATACTGTTTCTTATAAAAAGCCAATTCATATATTGATTCAACAGGCATTAAAATTGTGATATTAAAAAGACATAGTGGTATAACAATTGTCTAGCAGTGTTATGATGATTGTTATCAAGTTTAGTACTTTCTCTATTTCTTATACATAAAGTATACTTCCTTATCTCTTAAGTCTATAAGATTATAAAAGAAAAACCATGATTTTTCAAGAGACCTAGCTAGAATTACAAAAACTTCTTGTTGGATATAGTTAGTTTGCAATTGATCATATTAAGATACAGTTCTTTGAGTTTCTATTTATTGGATAGTAAATAGAACTAGAATGTACATATCCTGGCACATTAGCTTATCATCTATACTATTAGACTTTGAAATTAATAATATAGGAGAATGGAGAACAATAAACCAACTGATGAATAAAGTCATAAGAACTTTCTTTAGATAGTTTCATTAGGTAGATAAGTGGTAGTCAATTTTCATAAAAGAAATATACATGTATCATTAATTTATATCTAATAAACAAGATGTACACCAGTTGTTAAAAATATATATATATATATATATTTTTTAATGATTGACATATACTTTGTTTATTGAATATTGTTATAAGTGTTTTTACATATTTTGTAACAAATGTCAGACTTTATTTATTCCTTAAACTATCTAAGATAGAATATACTACCTATCAGTTGGCTTGTTGTTTTTTATATCTCTTATATTATTAGCATTAGAATTCTAATAATATAGGTAAAAAATTAACTTATCAAAATACAATATATATCTTTAAGTCTCTATTTGTCTCTGATAAACAGAAATTTAGAAGATCATTCAAATATAATCAGCTATAGACTAGTTATATCCTATTGACTTTAATTAGGTTTAAAAAAAAATTTAAAAAGTAAAAATGGAATACATAAGCATATTTACTTGTGAATATTTATAATAATCTATAGAAAAATCTCTTAAAACCTATAAAACATATTTGTAAAACTACAAAAGAAAAAAAACTACTTATTGTTCTAAAAAATTATTTTGTATATTATTATAATTTCTATATTAATTTATAATTGATTTATATTCTTTACACCTTCTTGTTAATTTTTATCTAAACTGAAAAATTTTTAACTAGGATTGGTCATCTGCTTCTTGTTTCAAATAAAGTATCACCATTACTATCCATTATGATCAAATAAAGTTCAATTACAAAATGTTCAATTTTATATAAACAAAAGATTGAATACTGTGTCACAAGTAAAGTTTATAAAAAAGAGTAAAGGATATTAATTTTTATTCCTATTTATAATTATATGTTTTGTCATATCAATATTGTTATTATGCTTTGTTAACCTGTATCTTCTAGCTGTATAAGAAATATAACTTAACTTTTTATTATCAAGGAGCTAATACAAACTTCAATAATAATTTCAGTTTGCTATTCAAGATAATTTGTTTAAAGATAAAAGGAACTGTTTTTAATCTTATAGCTTTTTTATTAATAAAAACTATATCACCAAAAAGAGTATAGTATAATATTGCTAATCAATATATTTGTGAGTTTTTTAATGAAAACTTTCTCTTAAAAAAAAAAAACTTTTTAAAAAAAATTTTTTTAAGAAATATATAATAAATGAAAAAAAGCTTTTTATATATATATAATATATATTATTTTTATAATGTATTTTTTAAATTAAAAAAGAGAAGTTAATCTTAATTATTTTTTTAGAATATGTTAATATTAATTAAAAATTTTTTTTGTTATAAAAAATAAAGTTTTTTCTTTTATAACTATATATTATAATAAATTTTTTAAATAAATTTTTTGTATTTAATTATAAAAATAAATAAAGAACTATTTTTGAAAAAATAATAATAACCAATATTATTAAAATATATATATAGATTTTATTATTATTAAATCAAAATTTTTTAATTATATTTTAAATTGGCAAAAAAATCAACAAAAAATTTTTTTGTTAATAGTTTTCTTTTAATTTATATTTATTTAATAAATCATTTTCTAATGTTTTAAAGAAAACAAATTAACAAATTAATAATTGAAAATTAAATAAAAATAAATAAAAAAAATAACCAATTTTGAAATTTAAATATTATGTTTTATAAAATAACAAAAATAATAATATACTATATAATATTTTAATGATTTTCAAATCAAATTAAATTTTTCTAATTTATAAATAAGTATAAATTATTTTGAATTAGTTATTCTTATAATAAATTATTGTTAATATTTACAAAAGTAATATAAAAAAATTGATATAATAGCAAAAAACGTATTTGGTTAATAAAATTTTGTATTTTACATTTATTTATAATAAAATTATTTTAATAAACAAAATTTTCATTATTAATATAATATATTCAATATATAGAAAACTCTTTATTATACTTTTTATAAACATATTGAATGTTTTAATAAACATGGAAAATACAAATTTAAAATATTATAAAGTAATATAGTTTTCTAAATTATAAGTATCAATAATATTAATAATTTAATTTAGTTTTATACTAATATAGATTTGTTTATTCAATATTGTAATAACCATTTTACATCGAAAAATTTTTTAAAATCCTATTGTGTGAAAATTAATATGCAATATACAATAATACATCAAAGAATAACGATATCCCTTCATATTGAAAGGCAATCTAAAAAAAAATCAAATATGAAACAAGCATTGCGTGTTACTTAGCCCTTTAAATCAAATCTCAGCCCTATTAAAAAAAAAAAGATTAGTTAAAAACCATCCTTTTTAAAAATACATATACATATATACATTACCATCCTAGCCGTTGTCTACCAGGTTCTGGCTCGGGCGTTCTCGGAGGTGTGACAGGGTCAGCAAAAGGATCATCTAACAAACTGTTATCAGGAACAATACCGTTATTTGCAGAGGAACTACAACGCAATCTTAATTAGAATAGTAATTGAAAGCGATAATATAAATAATATAAAGAGCTCACTTCGACGTATCAAAGTCAATAAGATCATCAGTTTCCCTGCGAATCTGTATAATAGAAATGATCAATTAAATATATTAATAAATTAATGTGTATGAAAAATGATAATTTTCACAATTAAGAATTATAGAATACCTTAGTAGTAGAACGTTTTGCTTTCGCATTATCTTCTGTTTTACGTGTGATAGATGAAATTCTATCATCTGATATTCCAGAATTTCCAGATTCAAAATCCGAGTATATTGATAATGCGCCTTGTACTTGGTCGTTAGATTGTAATAATGGTCCTTTAAAATTATATTTTAAAATATTAAGTATTTCGAACAAACATAAAGATTAATAATGTAGGCAGGTGAAGTACCTAGTTTACTTCCTTCCGTAACCGTCGATATGATTTTGACTAGCTGCTCCGATGAAGATTTGCATTTTTGAACCAATTCCTATACAGAGAAACATTATTGAACAGACGATATATATCCACTTTAACATCCCTCAGTATGGCATTTTGTACCTGAAGTTCAAAATCGTTCTTGGCATCAGTTTTAGGACCCAACAATGTAAGTGCATTGATAAGATTTGTGGCATTCTGTGTTGCTAACCCAATTTCCTCGTTGATCTAAAATCATATTTCAAGTAAGTAAACAATAACATGATTAAACAAATATAACGTTCGAACGCGAAATCTCACCTTATCTGAGGAATAAGTTTGGGGCTTTGCGTTAGGAGATTCTGTTTTTGAAGACTTGACGTTTTTGCGTTTCTCCTTAGGACTTGGATTCGATGATGTAGATGACGATGATTGGGTAACCGGCTTCGGTTCAGAATCTCTTCTGGTGGAACTGAAACTCCCGCCACGTCTGGAAGTTAAACTGTCATGCAAATGACTAATTGCGTACATTCTCGACTGATTCGCGAAATCGTTGGACCATTGTGCAAGTAGTGTCATTAGCTTTTTGTGAACTCTGGGATCGGTATTCTGTTATCAGTGTATGGTGGATAATGTAAATTACTGTTCTGCATCTAAGAAAATCTGTATAATAATGGAAAAAATATACCGGAGAGTTTGCAAGAATTCTTAAACGGTCGACAAACTTTTGTGAATTAATTTGCGCTACAAAAAATCAACCAAAGGATATCAAAATTATTATATTCAAATCGAATAAAAAGATCATTATTATGACATCTACCTTGGAAATTCTCGCCGCAATTCTCAACCAGCGTCTGCAAAACCTAAAATAATAGGGACATAGTTCAGTCTCCAAAAATACAGCGTTGAGATAAGTCATGTTATCTCAGTGTCCTAGAAATTGAACCAATTGATTGTAAATACAGTAAGACCCCGAAGATGAGAATGTGTATTTCCGTATTTAAACACTCGTCTTAATGCTTTGCTCGCTTCTTTGGGTCTAAATTTAATAATATGTAGGCATTCAGTTGAATAAACTTTCCGAACTGTTAAAAAAGGAAAATGTTTTTTTACCCGGTTTCCTGCAGAGTTACTGCTTCACATAATTGAAACATATCAGACAAATCTTCCTCTTGATACTGATCTGATGTCATACGTTCTAAATTTATGTTTATCGTGATGAACAATGTTAACCAATTTGACGGAAATGAGGATAAATATAATCGTCAATATACCGATCCATTCGGTGACCGCTGTTCGTGTGGTAGATTTGAAAACTTTCATCGTGAATCTATAGCTCAACGCCCAATAATGTTGTTATCTTCGGTCTATACTATAAAGTATGATTCTATCGTAAGAGGTAACGAAATATTATTAGAACAGCTTTATCTTCGTTGTTATGCAAACTGACGCGACGTTATACTTCGTCATATGATCTAAATTTAATATGATTCTGACGACTATCACACCACTACCCAGTTTTTATTTTTTAACTTACAATTCTTAGGTCAAATGAAGATCACTTAGTAAGTTCCTATAAATGGTCGGTAAACCTAAAGCTGTTGGTAAATTCCAAATGTCAGTCAAATATAACTTTCGATTTATTTTATTTTTAAACTAAAAAACTTAAAGTTAACCTGAAAAATTGTTAGCAAAAACTCCGGGTGAATCTCAATTAAGTTACAATGAAAAATAACAAATTAGGTTCTAATAATTGACATTATACAAAGTTAATGTTCGAAACATACTCGAAGGAATTTTATACAACGAAAGAGAAGATCGAAACTCCGTATTGATCTGTTTACTGGATAAGCTTTATTTCACGAATTAAGTCATGTGACTTTGCTGATCTTGAGTGCGCCAAGCACATGATAATCAGTTCTCATCTCGAAATACTTTATCTCCGTGTTTAATATTTTCATCGATACGAAAATCATTAACTAAAGAATCAGACGAAGGTGATGGTGAAGAGGAATACTGAGATGAAAATACTTGGCGAGAGGGAAGTATATATGATGGTGATTTAACCGATGCCCATCTTGCATCAGATTTAGGCGTCAAAACATCATCACTCTGATTATGTTCCGCTCGGTTTTTCCTGGGTAAAGGCTGCTCATTCATTTCGTTACCACTACTTTCTTCATTCGTTTCCACTAATTCAAAAATAACAATAAAGAAGACAATGGTCGAATCACGTGATTTACAAACATAGCGAAATGGCTAACATATTAATATTGTATGAAAGAAGTAATGAGTTATCTGAAAAACGAATTACTAATTAAAATAAATAGAAAACTACCTGTCCATCCCAATATTGCAATATTCCTAGCTGAAGTCCAGGGAGCTACGTAAAGTTTTAATAAATTTAATAAATTTGTAAAGGAATAATACAGCCTAAATCAGATGTCTTACCTTGACTGAAATATTATTGAAATCGACGTAAGGATTCGAAAAATCGAAATTCCAAATTTGCTCTTCGGTAATTCCAAATCGCTTTCGATTGTCCTCCGTAGTAAAATATTTCTTACGTGAGGAAGTATCACTAAAAAGTGGTAACTTGAGATCTGGATCATAAATTGCGCTTTCTCCAATGTGTCTGCCATCAGATGAAGGCCACGGAGGCAACTCATCTTCTTGATCCCGATGTTCGACGCATAATGTATTGACCGTAAAAAACAATGGACTATAAGCCCAAGGTTTGTCGCAATAAGGATCTGTCTCTAAACAAGGATCTATCCATTTTAGAATTTTCAGGCCTAGCCAACTTATACGTGGTAGCTTGATCTTACGGTCAAAGTCGTTCTAAAGAAAGAAGAATTGTTTTAGTTAACAATTTAAGCCCACTCACTTATACGATCTGTTTGGCACATAAAATAGAATATCCATTAATTTTGCTCTCTCACATTCTAATTCTTGGATAATGTTCGTCTCACTATTCTGCCAGTAATACCGTCAAATATAATAAAATTGTATTAAAGACACTTACGCCAAAGAAAATATCATTTGCGGTCCATTTCCCTTTAAATTTCCCCTGAACTTGTATCGAGTATTTATCCTTATTACCTTCGAAGTAAGGACTTGTTGATATTTTCGTGGTATTTGGAGGCGTGATGCCTAGAAAATCCCTTATGCGAACACAAATTCTGCCTGTAAAGTTTGGTGTGTCTAGAAAAAGAGGGTCTGCGTCGTTATTTGGAGAGATTATGGTGTAAGTAGACGGATCATAAGAAGACCCTACAGAAACTCGTAATTTTAGCATATTTCCCGAAATTTGTTCAAAATACTGTACATTTACGCGATTTATATAACTTTCTCCATATCCGGAAAACCTCACGTGATAATTTGGCATATGTAATTATTATCTAATTATTTAAGTCAATAGCACATATTTTTTTATTGTTTTTTAAAATAATAAATATGTAGGTTTTGATTTCAATTACTATAAAATTTCATAAATTATTTTATTCTTTTTAAAAATAAATAATTATTTACAGTATTTATTATTTTAATTCAATAAAACAATTTAAATTAAATAATTTAAATTACAAAAATTAATTTAAAAATCTATTTTTAAATATAATACAATATTGTTTTACTTTTAATTAGGCTACATGCCATGTATGTTTATTAATTCTTTGTGTACAAGAAAACAATAATACAATATAAAATATATAATATATTTACTACTATATTATAGTTAAATATTTTTATTACAATATCAATTTTTATTTGTAACTAGGATTCCAATTGGTACCATTTGATACAATATTTTATAAAACTGATATTGAAAATTTTTTCAATATCGATATTAGTATCGTATATTACTGTATACAATACTCCCCTCCAAATACTACCTCCCATTAATAATACTAGGTAGTATTCAAGAAAATTGTTGCTTAATAATTGATTACTATCCAAGTATATTAATATAATAATAAGTAAGACAATATTATTTTGAATTTTATAATAATGATATATCCTGCCACCAATATTACTCCCTTTCTAGTAAAATACTCCTCCAGGTATTAATCAATTTATTAGGGGGTAAATTGATTAATACCCAGGATATTGTATATAGTAGTATACAGTAATTACCAAAAATTTTCGATATAAAACTTTGTAATATCAATACCAAACTGAAAGTATCGAAATCAAATATTAAACTAATTTAATATAATATAATATAGTAGCTAGAATTCTAATTGGTACGATGTAATATATAGATAAATACTTTATTCAATAAATTTGTTCCATATTTTTCTGAAAAATTTCATAAGTTTGTGTGGTAAATTGGTAGTATCTTTTATGATTAGGTAGTAAATATTTTTGGATATATTTTTTTTCAAGTTTGTTGCAAGTCCCTTGTGACTTTTAATAGTTCTCCTAGGTAATACAGATGGACTAATACAGTAATTTGATAGGATTGTTATATATATCAGATAATTTTCAAGATTATTATTCTAATAGACTCATTGATTGATGCAATTGAATTATATGGTATAGTAAATCTCTTAAAGGTTTCATCCAAAATAAAAAGCATATCTATTTTAAATAAGTTTATTTTTTCCAAGATAGATTGTTAACATGTGAATTTGGATATTTTTTATAATAGAAATTTTCTCAGGATATAAGTAATTATATAGTTTTTGAGATTATATCAATTAATGTTATTGGTCACTTTCATATTTAAAGACTTGAATTTTTCCCTTGCTATGCTTTTATCTTATTTTTTCTAATTATAATTATGCCTCATATTAATAGACTTGCTTGTACTGTTGAATATCCTGATGCTATTGTTGATTGCATCATAACTCTTCAAGAGAAAATTAAGTTCCTTGGTTATATCATTATTAAGTGTAAATATCCAAAATATCAAGAAGAGTTGGTTAAGCTATGAAATCAATTATCTCAATTGCAGTCTCAATATCAAGAACAAAGAAATCAACCGCAACATTTCCAAATTCATGATCAAGAATCTTTAGGTCACTATTAGTCTCGTATTACTTCACTCCTTGAAGTAAATGCTAGTCAGATAGTAACAAGACTTCATTAAGAAGATACTTTGCATTTAAAAGTTTTGGCATTTTGGAAACATGTTGGTAAACTTCAATCAGTATTATTTTAATGTCGTAATTCCATTTCTAGTTATTATTTTTTTCCTTGGCAGGTTGATATCACTTCTTATTCTTTTGTTTGCATCCTAATCCTTTTTGATAAAGAACTATTTACATAAAGATCCTGGTTCTAATCCTAGCAATATGAAATTTTTTTTTTTTTTTTTTTAATACCAAAACAGCTATTAGTATCTTTATTATTTATAAGAGATTGCTATATAGCAATATTACAAATCTAATAACTAATATACATCTCTTTTTACTAAAAAGAGTTTAATATAAGACTCAACTAAAGTGATCCCGACCATTCCAGTAATGTTCTATAAACCTACCTAAGCACTAGTAAAACGTAATATTAAAACCTAGACTTAATACTTAGACAGGTACCTAGTGTGAACTAGGAAAGATTAGAAATACCCAAACACATGAAGGTGCTGCAGCCAAGTATACAGATTGGCCTCCAAGTCATGAATAGGATTTGGCATGCTTGCTTTCCAAAGTTGACTTGATATATAGCAGGTGGAGAAGAGAAGGAAAGATTTAGTTTTTTTTATGCATAAAGGTGCTGCAGTCACTTTTTACAAGTTGGTCTCCAAGTCACGTAAGGAGTTTGGCATATCCATTTTCCAAGTGTGGCAGAAGTGTCCAATGGATAGAGTTGAATTGAAGTTTCTTAAAGACATTGTTACCTAACCATACACATGAACCTACATTATTGAGAGTAATCGAAAAATATCTGTTATTGACACTAGCTCTGTTTGTAGAGGTAACTAGAATCCCTGGTCGTCATGTGTCATCTTACTAGGTATCCCAGACACCAGCGTGTCACTTGTAAAAATCTACACTAGCATTGACTGCCATATACTGGATACAGTGAGGTGCAACTTCCTGGAAATTCAAATAACAATAGTTGTACAATAGTTTCTTAGATGTATCTAGTCTAACTATCAATAAGTAAACAATGCCAGATATGGTAATGATGACTATGCTAATTTTTTGGAGGAGGTAAACCATCCATCCTTTTTCTAAGGAATCATGAAAGCAAGAAACTTCTTAAGGTCCACAACATAAAAGAAGTTACTATTTCTAAATATGATTCTTGAGAGAAGAGAGTCAACTGATCAGAGGAGTAATAAGATAAAGAGCAGCAGCTTTAAGAGAAAGAGAAGCCTAGAGAGGAAAAACTTCAGAAAGAAGGAAAAAACCTAACTTTGGCAGAAAGAGGAAAAAAAAAGAAGAGGAAAGGGTATGTGTAAGTTTATAGAAGAGAAGAAAAAAAAAAAGAAAAAGGGAAGAAGAAAATAGTAGAAAGAGAAAGTAATATTAGAGGAAGAGAAAAAGCGAAAAAAGAAAACAAATTAAAAATTTTCTAAAAAGGAAATTTTCAAGCATAGGGAGGGAAGTGGAAAAAAGTTTTTTTTTTCTTCCTAACAATATGAAATATTTTGCTTGCTTCTCAAATCTGCATGTAGTTCATGAACCTTCAGAACCATTTTTTTAAATAAATTGTTTTATTTATACTATTGTTTACATTTTTCTTATTACTGTATCACTTTGTGGGTCAGTGATAAGATGACAATAAGGTGTTGCTCAGTGGGCCCTTGTTGTCATATAATTTTGAATTTTTTTTTCCAATAGATATTCTCTAAATTGTCATATGATATATTATTGTCCAATATGAAATTTCTCCTGAAAAAAAATAAGTATATAATTAAAAATAAAAGAAAAAAAAAATATATAATAATAATAACTAATATTGAATAATATAATTTTGAACAGAAAAATCTCTTTCTGCTGATTCTTTTGCCAACCCAAAAAACAAACATTCTCAAAAGACTTTTTTTGTCTTTATGATAATAAAGTCTATACACTTTCCTTAACAACACTGGTTCCTTAATCAGCAGAGTGAGCAGAAGCTATCACTTGTTCTATTTTTTTTTTTCAAAATACTTTTCTAGTTTATTTTGGTGACTAAATATAAGAAACCTACCTAAAAGGTTTACGGCAAGAACACCTTTCTAGGAAAAAAACCAACAAGAAAAAATACTCTTCAAAAACTTCCAAAAGATTCAAGAATCCAGAAAAACAAGAACAAAGAAGTCTCCAGTCTTTCTATTATCTCTTTGGCTTCTCTCTTTTTTTTTCTTAAGCATGTTTCCTTTTTTCTGGTTTTTCTAGGGAATTTTGCCTACCTCAGTTTGACCCTGAATTTTTGGTTACACCAGATCTTTTGAAAGATGATTAGTCAAGGCCACGGATTGGTTGATCATGTCAACCTTAGAAAAAGTAAACAAAACATATACTCCTTACATGTTCTCAGTTGTGCAACACTAAACCAATGATGTAATTGGTTTTTGAAAGAGTTGGATAGTTTTTTGATTAAAGGAATAGTATATGAGTATTAGGTGAAGTAGAAGTTGTGAATAGAAAAGAAGCAACCCCTTTTTGTTCCCATCCTTTTATTTTCTTTTTTCTTTCCTATTTTTTCTTAAGGACAGGAAGTAGCAACAAGGTCTAGATCATATCCCAATCTGGTAACAAGTTGAAGTACCAATATTTATCTTGAAAATAGTTGAAGAAAGAAATCTTAAAACTATTCACCAGTTGAGTGAAGCAATAATTTCAGAAAACATGGCTTGAAAGAGCAATTAACAATAGAAAATCAACATCCTTTCTAGTTCAAAGTCTTCAAGTGTAAAGTTTCAAGAAATACTTTCCTGATGTTAATGGAGAACTGATGTGGAGTGTGACTACACAAACACATTCTGGCATGTCATGTACTCTGATTTGCAATAATCCGGAACCTATAGTCTATAGCGACATGTAAAAGTAATGATGTAATTTTAGGAAGCTTAAATTAGCCATAACCTTAAAAAAAG